GTGGAAACAAGTGACTCGAGTAGTACGTGTGAGGAGGAAAGTGAGGGAACAATTGAGGAGAACATTCTTGCGGGGTGTGGGTGTGGAAGAAGATGAGAAAATGAAGTGTGAAGTATTTGTCATAAGCGACTCAATCGTGCGACATGCAGGTAATTGTGCAAATGTACAAAATTTCAGCCAAGTGACAACTGGACCTAAAATGAAATCAGCCACAGGAATGATCCCGAAAATGACACTTCGAGCACTAGAGAGTCTTCACTTGGATGCCAGGACTTTATACAATATGCAGAAGTCGTTAATCATGTATACATGCCGTATTGTTAGAAGCCACCTAGATCTTCAATAAAGCAACCTCACACCTGGCCATCATTCCTGTGAGTGGCTGATATTTCAACCAATAAAAAATTAGAAGAAAAATAATAGTAATAATAATAATAATAATAATAATAATAATAATAATAATAATAATACATTTGCTTTTGATTTAAACATCTGAATAGTAAAATTTACTACAGTTATTTTTGATTTAATAATTTTTATGATAATCAATTAGGCTGATGATTCTCTTCTCCCTCTACTACATTGTTTGGTATACAAAGGAATAGTTTTAGTTTGCTACTGCAAAACATGTTTAACAATACAATTTATTGTAGTGATAATACTTTACTTGAAAGTTCTAACACGATTATACACATTATAAATTGATTTTGGAACTCCCTGATGGCTGCCACCTGCTTTTGGTTACAATATGTGACGCAATGCCACATGCAACATGTTGCGTTTGTTACGTTGAACTATCTGTTGAGAACGGTCACAAGCCAACTCAGTAATTGCACCTAGTTCATACATGACAAATGTGTATGAACTTCAAAGTTTAATTGCAGTAACATGGTTGAGAATACACTGTTAAACTTTGCACATTATAAATACAAAGTTCAGACTTTGAACTGCAATGAATAAATGCTAATGCAGAGTTTTGTACGTGCGCGATTCTGGGATCTACGAAAATGCCCACAAAAACTCAACATAGAAAAAAACGAGAATAATTACACTCGCCCGTTTCAACACCACCGCCATCACAAGCACGTTTTTACTTCCTCATATACATACATATATACGGGGTAATATACGTAACACATAGAAATATATGTTACGCTGCACGAAAAAACGGAGGATTTTCGGCCGAAAAAAATAATTGCTGGGCCCCGATAACGAAAAAGTGAATAAATCCTCTTGTTAAGTATATGATAAACGTGGTGTAGCCCTTAAACGTGCTGAAGTCAGAAGCCATGTTTTCTGTGCCCTTCATACCGAAAAATTGATTGACAGCAAAACGTCTGTCTGTCTCCTTCGTCCGTCCTCCGTCTCTCCATCCGTCTGTGAACAACGCTAACGTTCACCAACGCCAACGTAAACCGTTCAGTCAATTTTCTCCGAAATTCTTCCAATTATTTTAGCTGAATCTGTGTAGCTATTTTAATTTTGGGAAATACTTTACATGACACCCTTCAGACATTTTCAAAACATTCGAAAAATGGCTCCAAATCATTTGATTAAATTTTGTTGTTTAATAGTGCGAAGAACGTTTAAGAGACTGATGCAAGTGTCATTTTCGTTAAAATCCCTAATATTTTGAAAACTGCAAAATAATTTTAAAAGTACAAAATTGAAGATAAGAGATTTTTGTCACAGGAGAAGTATGTTGAACAAGTTTAACTCTTTTAAGAAGATCGTGTATTTTTTTGTTGTTGAAAAAGACAGTAATTTTTCCGTAATTTGCGCTTGCAATTTACGCAATTTGTTTTTTAAACCGCGCCAAATATTTTCTTTAAATTTTCTCCACATATATAGTAAGGGACGGTAAAAAATATGGCGCTAGTCCCATTTTCGGGTATTTTTCGTCTTTCCTCGAAAATCAGCTTGGCTTTGAAAGAATCCCTTATCAGACAAGTCTCTTTTCAACGACTGAAGAGAAATCACTCATTCTCTTGTGAACTTTTTAACTCGCAACACTCGGTAGGCTTTAGATTCGTATTTTAAAGAGAAATCACCAGCACAAGGGCCGGCGAAACGTATAAATTTCAGATGGGTAGTACCGTGAGTGGAGATAATGTAATTTGTTATTATTTTTAAGTTTTCTTGAAGAAAAATATTATGGTATAAAATGTGTAGATTTTCAACATTTTTTTAGTAGTGAATCGATCAACGAATCAAATTCTTCAGAGCGAAAACTGATATTCGTTTGGAATTTTTAGAAATGAATTCATCCATTAGTTACTTAATATCGATCTTATCAACTAACGCTGGGTACGAGTGCAAGATCGCTATTATTAAGGCGATTTTGCGGCATCGTCGAACGCAAGTAATTTTTTACCCGGTGTAGAGACAGAAAAGCTTCTCCTATTCGAGCACCTGGATTGGTCATAAGCAGACGGATAAAGCGCAAATACTGGGGAACAAGACCCATACACCGCTCATTTTCACGCATAAAATCCACACCTCACGCAAATTCGGCGGATTTATCCCTTTTCTTTTGAGGATGCTCAAGACCATGTGCTTATCGCTCTGAAGTCGATACGGATCGACATCCCCTTTGCGAAACTTGGCAGTGTTTTTCAAGTCACTTGTATCACCGACAATTTTCCAATGTTTTGAAAAATTTAGCTGCATCTGTGTCAAATCTACTTTTTAACAAGCAAAACACTTGATTGTAAGTTTCTCAGTATTCCTTTTTTGAAATGTTTCTCAGTATACCTTTTTGATTTTGCTCTGGCGACTAGAAGGCGTTGTCGGTTTTGGGATTCTTTCGCTTTCGTGGCAAATTCTGCTCTTCAACGTTTAATTCTTATACACTCTTATTGCTGTCGAGCTAAATTTTCTCTAATTTCAAGTCGCGAGATTCAAAGAAAAGAATTATAGCATCTATTTTGTGAAAGTAATCAACCACCAAAGGTCCGATTGTTGGAGTTCTGTGCACGGTGTAAAGTTCTTATCCCATGGTTCTGTGATAATTACTTCGATGCGACGATTACGACGATACATGATCGTTCCAAAATGTGCACACATATCTGATTTTTTCTATGTGAGAACTTTGATAGCATTCTCTGATGCAAAACTGATATTTTGCTTTTCAGGATCTCTTAGAACTGAGATAATCTTCAGTTGGGCTTCATTGTAATGTTTCGTTTTTTGTGGCCTAGGGCAATTATGAGCTGTTCCTTGTTTATTATGAAAATGTATAAAAAAATGTAATAATTATTTCAAATACAATGTGGGATTTGTAAATATATCCATTAATTGTTTTTCTCATATCAATTTCCCAAATTTATGTACTTGAAATGCTATTACATTTGTTCATTTTCCTATTTGTGGTTTTCATGCCTGCGAAACTGTAATCAGATTAATGTGATTGAGTTGAATTGTATTAATTTATCAGACCCTTGTTTCACTGGAGCCATTTGCAACTTGCAGCACACAGCTAACATTAAGTAAAGGTTAAAATTATAAATTCGTTTCATGAATTGTAAAAAACTGAAACTTTCATATATTTATGGTTGCGCGCCACAAGTTGCAAATGACTTCAGTTAAAGAAACAACCAAATAAATCAATACAAAGAAATTAATTAACAGCAATCGAATTTAAAAATACTCAAAATAATTCAATTTCGCTTAATTTTGTTTTGTTTTTTTGGTGGGCAGGGAACAGATATCACTTCTTGTTATTAAATGTCAGAGAAAATATTTAGCAAAGTAATATGAAATTATTCCAGATTATATATTAATGTAAGAAATTCTATTCAGCAACTGTTTTAGTGACTAGTTTTCAAAAAAAAATTAATGGGCGTTCTTTCCATTAAACCTTTCACATTTTTGCATTTAGAAAAAATAATGTAACAATTTATGTTTTCAAATTTACAATTAAAAGGCACATGTTTAAAACGAGGCAAAACTCTCCAAGGATACTTATGTGTTAAAGCAAATAATTCCATTATTGGTATAAATATTTTTATAGTAACTGTAGCGGGTTGCCGAAGTTTTGAGAGAGTCAACCACGAATTGCAAATATTTTGTGGTTCAGGGTACTACGTAGACAAGAGGACCACCAGACACAGTGGTGGACCCCACGGAGGTTCATACATGACGCTTACGTTAGGACCTCACGGAGGTTCACACATGACGCCTACGGTGCGTCAACCCGAACAATAGCTGTGCTAAATTTTAATATTGACTCTGGTTGGGAGAACTGTATTTCAATGTGCGGCAACCATTCCTTTTTTCAGTGTGCTATTCCCATTTTCTGCAAACTCTCCGTATTTTCGAAAACTGTAAAAAGTTACCATTTTAAAACTAGAAAGTTGAGGATAGTCTTGCCTGAAACAAAGTCCGTTGTAAATAAGCTCTTTAGAAAATATTATGTACAATTTTTTGAAGAAAAGTGATTTTGCGCAGTTATTGTCTGAAATTCGTTTAATGTCTGGGATGGGGCTGCTAAAAGAAATGTAGAAAAAATTCAGATTACAAAATACATTTTAAGGCACGTCATTAAATCTTCGACACGTGTCAAATAGGCAAATTAGAAAAGATCTGATAGTAAAAAACTTATTTTAGAAGACTATCTATAAACATTTTTGAGGACAAGGCGGATTGTGGGATAAATATTACTGTAAGATATTCAGCAGAAGACATTAAGATCAATTCAAGATACTCCAATGATAAACCATGTCCACCATAAACTCTTCAATAAACATACAATTTGAAAATAAAATATAGTCAAACACTCAAACATTACATTATACAATAGTATGTTGCAGTTTCAAAATCAAAAAAATTCCAAATACTAACAAAAGTAAGAGTAAGCTTTGAATAAAATTAACTCCCTACCTGCCTATGCCCTAACCTAGTTCTGGTAATATTACATGTACATCTCTGTAAAATCAGTGGACAGATAGTAAATAAATATGATAAAAACTATTATTATTAAGTTTCCACCATCGCTGCAGGTATCCGTCGCCGCCGGAGCCCGACGAGCAGGTCTTGAGCCACGCGCATACGGACTTGCAGCGGGAAAGGAGCGACATTTCGGAGGCGTCGATGGCTTCCGGGCCCTCTGCCAGCAGCGGCGTTGCCTCCGCCCTTCTGGTGATCATGACGATATGCAACTCACCACGTAATCATTACATTCATGCAATGTTTGAACACAGTGACTTGCAATCCTCTGCAACTTCTCCAAATTGATAAACTTTGGAAGAGCATTAACGCGTATACAAGCATAAAGTTTAGTGAGATTTTCTTTCCTTTTCGTAAAACATTGTATGATATAGTTTGTTTGTAAGGCCAAAATGTGAACGTTTCGGGCGAGGTTTTTACCTGTAGAAGGGGTCCAGTGATGGAACCGAATTGATTTACATCTTATTTTGCTGCTGCGAGAGGAACAAGGGGTTTAGTTATTTCGTCGGCTGTATATTCAAATCAAATCTGAATCGTATTTATCGAAGAATTTTTTTTTCCATTTCACAAGAGCGAACCTTCAGTGTCATCAAATGCTACCACCAAGGGATCGTCCCGTTCATAATTCAACTCTGTAAGATACACTTTGGTTCAAATTAATATATACCCACTCAACTACTTCAAGTTCATGCATTCTCAGCAACTGAAGATGATAAACAAAACTCCCTATAAATGTACTCCTTACCCGCCGTAACAAATGATATCCCTAATTTTCCTTAATCTTCCACTTTTCGTAAGTAAAGGTTAAATGATGCAGTGCTTATGTACATTACGAAATAATATTAAAATCTTCTGGAATTAATTGTTTCCAAAAAATACACTGATATTTTATAGGCACGCATTGCGCCTAAAATATCGTCATTTGTTTTAACCTTCTTTGAAATGGGGGAAAATGGAATGATAGGCATATTAGGTCCTAAATGCATAAAAATATTTTAAAATCAGTAATTCGTCATTGATGTATCATATATATTCACTAATTTCTTGATAAAATATTGTTTCTTATTCAAGTAGCACCTTGATTTCAGTTGTAAATTTTATCACTCTGGATGATTGGTGTTTCCGGGCGCGTCAACTTCTAAGGTGACTGGTCTCGTAAGTGTTCTGTATGTTTTTATCGCGGAAGGTGGCGGTGATCATTGGGGGATGGTGTATCCGGCTTGCGGGGTTCTCTCCAACAGGGTAATTCTCACCAGCGGGGCACCACCTCAGCCGGAACGAGCTCTAAGCTTCCGATTGGCCCCCGGACATTTATAGAAATGTAGTGCACATACATGTAGCCGTGTGTACGAAAGGGATGATGATAGGACAAGGAAGAAGAAGGAAAGTTTGCACAAAGTACGTGGCTCGTTTGTCAGTTTCCTATCGATCAGAGCAGAAGGCTGTTAAGAATTCTCCAGACGGCGGTGGAACTCGGCCTAGCTATGAGGCTAGTGTCTAAGAACCTGCTTTGATCGAGGCTCGAATCGTAGGACCTCCCGGTCAAACACTGACATCAATGGATGTCCTGTAATCAGTTGTCCATTTACTTATTGGAAAACACTTTTTGCATGGAATGGGCGGCATGTGCCCAGCTGAAACACACGGGTGGTGGCCGCTGCTGACCGCCCCGACGGCGCGCCCACGCTCCCGCGCCTGCGCCGAACGCGCCGAGGCCGCCCGCGCCCGATCCCGCCCGCGACCTGCCGCCGCGCGCCCCGCCGCCCGCCCCCGGCGCCCGCAACGGCCCTCGCGCCGTCCCGGGCCCGGGCCCGGCCCGGCCCGCCCGGTTGCCGGCGGCCCGCGGCCCGGGACGCCTGCGCCGGCGCCCACGTCCGCCCCGCGCCGCGCCCGCAGCAGTGGCGGCGCCCGCCCCTCCGGCCACCGCCCTCCGCCGTCAAGTGGTCGCTCATCACCGACGAGCTGGCGGGCTCGCGGGGCGGCGGCTCGCCTTCTCCCGACGACCGAGGTACTGGGGGGGGGGGGCGCGCGGCGAGAAAATGGGCATCTTCCAGAGCCGGCGATGAGCCTTTGGACAGTATTGAACCTCCATACGTGCTGACTGTCTTGAATTTGACTTCTTAATTAATGGGGTGGAATGTTTGCTTTTAGAAAAGAAAGACGTAAACGTTATAATATATAGAGCTCTGATCTGAATACTTAATATTACGCAACTCGATCTCCTGGTTTAAAAATTGTTTCCTTCATATGCGTCTATCCACTATATTAAAATTAATTTTCACCACTTCAAACTGAGATTCTCTCATATTATATAAAATCTAATGTTACTAAGATAAATTACAGATAAAATACTTATTAAAACAATGATTTAAGTGGGAACGAGGTCACAGGGGCTTTGTACATGTCAGTAACTGGGATCTCATTTCAAACGCAACACAAATTTTCTAATAATATAGGATTATTAATCGTCAAAATTAACGACCAAACAGACACTTCATTTGATCAAAAAAACAAATCAACAATGAATATAAATAACATTAGCAAAAATTTTACTTCTTCAATACTCAAAAAAATGTTTTTCAGGTATTGTATCATTCATTTACCATCTGGCCATTAATTCTCTCATTCCATTTCTAATGAGATCCCAAAACAATAACTACAGGTAATGTTCTAAACATTTAATTCAGTCTTTCTAAAGGGGCCCTGGAATCAAACATTATTAACACTTATCCCAAAACAATTACATCCCTTACATTTACAATGCTTTACCATACGTTCCCCACCAAAAGAAATCCTTAATCTAATACTATTAAATGTCTCTTTGAAATTTGCGTCATTAATCTTCTGCTAATCTCTCTATTAAACAATCTGATGTTCAGAAATGAAGGTTTATTAAGTGACTTTCACTTTGATTTTCAAAATGCCGCAGTAAGTATTACTTTCTGCCTCTGAAAACTATCATTTTCGTGGCACTTTCACTAAAATTCAAAATTCTTAACGTTCTGTTGCGGCGGCTTCTCGCCCCACTCCTTCCGTGAATGTCACCGTTTGCAGCAATGCGCCGCGCCAAGAACACTCAGCTGGCTCCAAACAGACGAGGTCAGCGGCGTTCACCTACTCCGGGAATCTCTTGTGTAGTCCCTCTTTTGTCCCCTCCATAGTATCCCTGTGAGAAGGGAATTTATTTTCAATGGATTTTTTAATACGCTGCTGCCTTGCGGCTTAAGCAGCTACAGGCGGGCTTTTCTTTCTACAATAAACTTCCAATCTAGACCTAAAGTTATCTTAATTGCACGTTGGCATTACTAACTTAACACTAATTTTTTTTTCTAGTTCTATTTATATATTTTTACGTAATTTATTATTTTATATATAGTTGGTAATTGTTTTTTTTTCTACATTCACACATCATTCATACTAGTTATTATATATCATAACCATTCATTCTTCCCATTCATCGCGCTTACTCTTCACTAACTGTTCGCACGGCCCTGACTTGACTCAAAGTGTCCGGCGTCGCGTTCCCGCGCGTCTCGGCGATGGCGAGTCTTCCCCGTCTGCGCTCAGCGGCTCCGCTCGTTCGCACAAGGCAGCAAGCGTGTCGTGAGGCAGCGCGCGGAAAGAGAAGGCGACGCGCTTCGGACTCTTTTCGGAGGTGGACGATGCGCGGCACTGTTCGCCTCCGGCCGGTGTCAGCAGGATGCGCGGCGCCTTCGGACCCAGAGCCCTTTGAGCGCGTCACTGGCCTTTGGAGCTCCGGCAAGAATTGGTTTTTTACACCCAGAATCCGAACACGTCAGTGTTTCTAGGGATATATTGGGAAGGGGAGGAGGAAGGTGGGGGTACGCGCGGAGACGCGCAGCGCGGTTTTCCGCCGTGCGAATCGGCGGAGGGTGGAAGGAGGTGCCGCCGCGAATACCTCGCAGGCATAAGTCCAAATGGACCGCACGCAGGCGGTTGAATAGGCGGCGTTTGAGGGCAGGATGAAGTTCGGGGGCTCGAAGGATGGAGCGTAGGAGGTGGTTCGGGCAGTTATTTTTTGGCTAACGTACTTGGCGTGGGCGTGCAGCGGAGGCCGCTGTCAAGCTTCACACCAAGATACTTCGCGTCTTTTGCCACGGTATATGCGTGCCTAACAAGCTCACGACTTCAATCGGGTCGGCCCTCTGTCGAGTGAAGTTGACGGCTACGCACTTGTCAGGATTGAGGAAGCTTTTTATGGCTTAGCCATTTGGAAGCTCGGCGAGACAATGCATTCAGATATTTCACCGATTTCCTTTTGTCCGCCGATTTTGCCATAAGTAAGCGAAATCATCCACAACATTAGGAGCCGCAATGTTGAATGCCGGTATTTTTTTCAACAGGAAGCGGCGCGTCGTTGACGTACAGGCGAATATTGTTGGTGAGAGCACGCTTCCCTGAGGCACGCGGCTGAGGCTCGCCTTGGGGACGAATGTACGCCATTGACGCGAACCTTGAATCGTCTACTCTGTCAAGAAGCTGGCGATTAGTCTGACGTAGCAGTCGCTGATTCCAATGTCCGCAAGACACGCGAGCGCCCCCTCGTGATACAGAATCGATGCCGACCGCATGTTAGGAAAACCACTGGCAAGTTCTCGTCTTTCGAGAGAGAGACCGATCTCGGTACATAGCGCGTCAGTTGTTGCACGGAATTAGACGCATTCGAAATCCGAATTGCTCATCTCTAAGAAGCTTAAGACGCCCTATTTCCTGTTGCAAGCGCTCCAGGAATCAGGCGCTCGAAAGCTTTCGCAAGAAGCGAGAGGAGACTAATTGGTCTGTAAGCTCGCCAGACAGTTGGTCTTGTTAAGCTTTGGTATCATGGATACTGTCGCGATTTTCCGCTCTGGGGAAGTATCCTAAGCGTTAGGCAGCATTTTAGGAGTTCCCGTAGAGGAACTCACCGCGTCGGCGCCGAGCGCGCGAGCTGGGCGGTGTTTATTCCGTCCGGCCCGCAATGCTTGCGCGTATTGAGTTGTCGCGCGTTTTCGCGGAAGCTCGTTTCGCGGAGCCCTTCGCGTCAACACGTCGCGCAATGAGGTGCCGGCCTGGCGGTCAGGTAGTGCGTAGCGTGGCAACAGTGTCTGGT